TAGAATATTTTATTATTCGGTTTTTATAAATAATAAATACATGTAAGAGCATTTTAATGTTGTATTTCATCAACCTGGAGCCAATTTAGATACTTTACATACTACTGGGTAGATTAGTAGTGTAGTACTGGGTCTTTTCATTTCTACAAATCATATTATTTAAAGGTAAAAAGTAGTCAAATAAATGTAGTGAAGTAGCCTTAAAGTGTAAAGTAGCATAAATGTAAATAGTTGAGTAAAGTACAAGTATGTGAAAAAATTTGATGTATAAAGAGACCTGGATACAGCTTTGGAGGCGGGGCCCTGTTAATTCCTATGAAAGTTGCTCAGTGAAGCCAGAATTGTTCAGCTGTTTTTGCACTGTGTGGCCCACAGAGCAGAAACTTCTGCCAGCCGAGGTGAACTTAGCTAAATTTCTGGTTTAGCGCTCCGTTATTTTGAATGGGGATAAAATACTGTGCGGCTCTTCTAGACTTCCCAAAAATTGGCTTCAAAGCCCGGCGCACTACCTCAACGGGTGATGTGGACTCTGGTTGTTAGTTATTAGTGGACTCCAATTCTTAGCTAACGTTAGCTAGTGCTGCACACTGTAAGCGCTGTAGCGGAGCTGAGGGGAGGCAAGGTTGTTCTGGAAAATGCATCCTGAGTCTTTAACAGAGAATTCTGTAATCCTGATGGTGAAACGAGTCATTTTGAGCAGGTTGTGCTAAAAAACTGTATCCATTGATTTACAGATTTACTTTTAACATTTAAGTCTATGGGAAAAAGTCTCCCATTCTTAGCTAATGTTAGCTAGTGTTGCACACTGTTAGTGCTGTAGCAGAGCTGAGGAGAGGCAAGGTTTTCCCAGGAAAATTCGTCGTCTCTTTCACCATGTAAGTCAACAGGAAAAAGTCTTTTTGGGCAGCAAGGCATCACATGGTGGTATAATTCCTGTGTGGTCATTACAAAAATTGGCTTCAAAGCCTTCCTGGGGGCCTGACTCAGAAACATCTCACCACTTCTGTTCTCATGAGTCTTAAGGGGACAGTTCACCCAAAATCAAAATACATATTTTTCCTCTTACCTGGAGTGCAACAGTAGTTATCATTTTGGTGCAAGTTGCTAAGTGTTGAAGATAACGTTCGTAGAGACGTCTGCCTTCTCTCTAACAAAATAGAGCTAGATGGCTTGTGGATTTATTTATCTATTTATATAACTAAACAGCGATGTCTCTTTCCAGAAATCATGAACTGTTTACTCAAGATGATCAACAGACCTTGTACCTTCTGTGTGGTGGTATGGTAGGCGGGTGTAGTTCGGTAGAGAGAAAGTTGTTCCTATGTCAAAATGCTCACAAGGTCTTTGAAGTGCGTCCTTCTATGCCGGGAGTGTTGGGTCTTGACAACGCAGCAGCCCATTTCAAAAGGTAACAATCCTTTCTGAGTGTAAGCAGCGCTGGAACTAAACTTACTTCCCTGTTTGCCTAAACATCAGGTAACACCTCTCTGTCTCTGAGACAAATACTTTTGCTGGGGTTGCATTTTGTAGGGGGTGGGCTTGGGGTCCTGGTGCGTGGTCACCCCCCACTTTTTGGTCTCTGAGGGTGGGCCACTTGAGTGAACACATGCACGTCCTTCTTGCTCCTACTCACTGCAGCCTTGTGCGGGGAGAGGAGAGGGAGCTGGCAGGGACAGCTCTTTAGTTACTCACCCTATTTTAGAATACTCAGGCCTGCTCCTTACGGACCCAGAGGGGATGCCTACCGGTCCTTTGCGTCTAGGCTTGCACATCTAGGCCTAATTGGGATACACCTCCAACCACCATGGGGAGGAGGCCTTACTTTAAGGTGGTGAGGAGGACCAATGCTGGTCAGCAGACGATGAATAATCAAAAAAGAATTTCCTTTTCAGTTAAGTCTCACTCCCTTTATTTAACCAAGACTTCTAAGAGTAAATCTAAGAGGAAAAACTGAAAAGATTAAAAAATGTAAGGAGTGAAAAGTGGAGAGACCCCCAAAATACCCTGAGCTCTGATTCTGTTTGGCTTTTCATAACGGACTGGAGCTTTAATGACTGTTAAATTGAAGTCGAAGGACCCTTCTCCTGTGGGGTCAAAGGTCGCGTGCAGCAAATTAAGGGTTCTGTCAAAAAGATGCTCACATAATGCTGCAAGGTGCAGCAGCCATCTGCGATCTCCCATGGCAACAATGATCTGTCACCGCGGCGAACTTCACAGCATCACACGTCCCCTGTTTCCAATTTACCTTTATCACACCTTAAAATAGAGCGTGGTGTAAATGTCTCACCTCCTCTGCTGGTTGAAGAAGCAGGTGAAGGACTGGCTGCTGACCTCTTTAGTGAAGTAATCCTCCCACCACAGAACGCTGTCTTTGTTCTTCTGGTTGTCCCGCTCACAGGGAGGGACGTATGAACACTGGGAGACACAAAACAGATCAATATCAACACCTGTGTCTTTAATAGATCAATGAAAGTAATCGGTTAAGGTGTTAAATCTCCAGGCGTTACATTATTTTGTCTCAGACTGATCAGATACGGACAAATGTTGGAGGATTGTTACATCGCTCTGTTGTAGTGACAGTGATTACCCAGCAGGAAGCGCTGTAATAAGGTCACAACAAGGTGACAGGTTTGATCCTGATTGGCTCAGAGGGGGGTCGGCATCACTCTCTTGTTCTTTAGTTAAGGTTTAGTTTCAGCTTCCAAACATAACCTCTCTCACACACACACACACACACACACACACACACACACACACACACACACACACACAAATACACACACACACGCAGATTCACGTAGCGGGAGGTTGATTGGTTCCTGACTGGTTGCTGTGGATCAACTGGTTGCTATGGCGATGATGTGATTGGTACACAGAAGGGGGGGGGGGAGGAGGGGGAGTTGTGGTGATTGCAACCTGAACTCCATCGAAATGAAAGATGAGACAATAACTACTGCAGGAAAAAACTGACCCAAAATCTCTGAAGTATACTCTCTGACTTCCTGTCTGTGTCTCTCAGCTCCACACTCACTGGGTCCTACAGAAGAGCTAAATCTTTAAAAACACAAATATAATTCTCAGTAATTTCCTAAAACAGCTGGACAGGAAAAAGCTCATTTATTGGGGACTATTTCCAGCGGCAGATTAATCCACATTTGATGCTTTAGTGAGTATTTGTGGCCGCAGGACGGTGTGTGTGGGATTGAGTCAAAATAAACTGCAGTGTGTGTTTAACACAGTCGCCAAAAAAGATGTTGGCATTGTAGATTTCTGCAAACCACTGATACATTATATTTGTACCTTATGATGTAGCTAACACATTGAAACTGTTGTTTGGGCACAAAAAGAACTTGATCATGATTAGGGGCTTAAAATACACTGTTTAGGAGGCAAAATCTCCGCTGGAAAAGCAGCAATGTCTTGGTAAAGACACAACCGCTTTTCGTCCCACTATCCCAGCAGGAAGTGCAGCCATGCATCGGTAATTTTACTGTTGTAAAATAAACTCTATTAAAAGTCTCACAAAACCATCTTAGTTTGTCTTTACGCTGTTTCCACAGTCACCAGCTGTGGTTTGGTTGAAATTAACCCTTAATTCACTGGGCCTTAAACCAAACGGATCATACTCTTACGGGAGATCTATACCATCAGCGCAGTTTCAAGGTTAGTGTCACAATCTGTCAGTATCTGACCAAATGTCTCCCCTTCTGTTCCTGAGATATGACATTAAAACATGATGATGTCACAGTCAAGCTGACCTTTGACCTTTTGGATATAAAATGTCATTATTTTATACTGTTAGATATTTGTGTGCATAATCAGCATATGAATTCCTGAGTTTTTGACTGCAACAGCATTTTTATTGCATGTAATTCCACTTGCTATTATTGCTATAATGTGATAGTCACGCACTTAGTAGTTGTGTGGTTATACCTGGGTTATTTGCTGAAGGGCGCCCTCTCTCAGAGGTACTGAGTAAATGCCACTGCAGGCGCTAAAACATTGCCTGTTGATGAGAGACGTGCCCAAGGTGAGTTGTCAAGCATAGCACTGTGAGTGAGTCACGAGTGGGTTGCTGAACTTTATGAGGGATAGAGTGTCCAGTTAGCGACTTAATGCACTTTGTGAAACAGCTGGCTTTATGCTAACGTAACGTAACTGTTCTTTTGTAGCATGCTATGTGTGAGCTGCCTGTAATGAGTCAAATGTATGACTGACCATAAATATCCTGTTCCTGTTCAGGTACATATTTTTGTATTTTTATAATTGTATTAATAATTTGCTGTGTCAAAAATTTCACTGCTGGCGTAAAAACATTGCCAGTTGGTGAGTAATGTGCTCCAGTGTGCTATGTGTGAGCTGCCTGTAATGAGCCTACAGTGTGACTGAGCAGTACATATCCTGTTCCTGTTCAGAGAATAAATGGCGGTGTAAAAAGGACGACAAGCCTCCTCATTATTGACCACACAACGCACATTCCATACCTCTGACCACAAAATTTGAATCAGTTTATTGTTAAGTCCAAGTGGATGTTTGTGCCAAATTTGAGGAAATTCCATCAAGGCCTTCTTGAGATATTGTGATAATGAGAGTGAGAATGACAAGGTCACAGTGACCTTGACCTTTGACCACCAAAATCTAATCAAGAATGTGATTGCACCAAATACTAAAAAAATTCCCTATAGGTGTTTGGGGATTTTGCATTAACAAGAATGAGACAGATGAGGTCACAGTGACCTTGACCTTTGACAACCAAAATGGAATCAGTTCGTCCTTAAATCCAAGTGGACAGCTGTGCCAAATTTGCAACATTCTTTCAAGGCATCCTTGAGATATCGCATTCACAAGAATGGGACGTATGTCCGTCCATTCGTATGGACAACCCAGAAACATAATCCCTCTGGTGTTGGCTATCGCTGAAGGTATGAAAATTGTTCCCATTCGTCACTTAGACACAAAACATGGGAACATGGGGTCCAGGTTAAAAAATACTTGAGGAGGTACTTGAGTAAATGAACGTCGTAGCGCAACATTCTTCCATTGTTAGCCTGTTGTCTGCTCAGCTCTATAAAGATTAGATCCGGTAATTGTTCCAAAACTGCCTCTCCCTCTCTCCCTTGGTATGCAGCCATGATATGAAAGTGAAGTATAAGATATAATGGACTCCCAGGTGTTACTATGGAGAACATTCAGAGAGACATTTGTTCAATAAACCTGTCCAATATTCTCACATATCAGGACATTACTGTCGTCTCACGTGGGATCAGAGTGATGAATGTGTCGACCACGGACATGTTTTATCTCCTCTCAGCTGTAAAAGTGCAGCTGATGTTTTTATGATCAGATCTTCACTGGATTAGTTTTTTCTGTCTGATTGCATCTCGTCCATATTAGTGAAGGTACAGAGACCGTCGCTGTGTGTGTGTGTGTGTGTGTGTGTGTGTGTGTGTGTGTGTGTTTAGGTAATTGTCAGCTTACTACCCCGCTCAGCTCGGCTCAGCAGCCATTCATCCCTCAACCCCATTCAACACTCAGCCAATCAAACATGCCTCGCCCGATGACATCATAAGTGGCTCGCCCTGCCAGATGATTGCGGTTGCTATGCCAACAGGCTGAGGGTACAATTATATGTGTGTGTGTGTGTGTGTGTTTTGGTGTCTAATAAATGGTCTAAATAAGATCAATCCAGAGTGTGTGTGTTGACATGTGGAGGGTTTCTCTGAGACGACAGGACGAACACACTGATCAGGATGTTGTCACAGTCCGAACACGCAGCACGTCTCATTTACTCTCAGGTGATGCTGTTACTGCAGGTGTTTGATATTCAAGGCAAACACACACTAATGCATTTAAAGTTTGTGTTTTTTATTTGGTTTGACAATCCTGCTGTTGTTATAATGAAACAAAGTCGGTAAGACTGAGACGTGACTGTGACTGTGTCTCATGTGATTTCTACTTGTTATTTATTTATCTGCTGTCTTTCTTTAATCTGTTCTTTAATCTATTGTCTTGATGAGAACAACAAATAAGGGATAATTCCCAACAAGGTGTCCATTATCAGGGATTAATGGACTCCCTGCAGCCAATCAGAATCAAGTATTCACCCAGACCGCGGTATAAAAAGGACATACGATGAGCAATGAGCCGCTGCTGTCCCACATAACAAAGACAACCAAAGTTAACTGTGAGCGTGAGAGCATCAATCACTTCCTGACAGGCTGACAGGTACAAAAACAGCTGATCCTGATTGGATCAGTCAAGGAGAGAAGTTCTTTGATTGGTCGGTAATGAAGACATGAACTTTGACCTGCTGGAAGTTTAGAAGCAGCAGAGTGAGAAAGAGGAAGCTGGTGTTGATGTACAACTAGAATTACCGCCTCAAAGTTGTATACCTCTGTGAACCAGTCAAGGTGGAGTCACAGTTTACATCCATGTCTGTCCAGAGCAGGGTTGAAAATTAGCACCAGCCAAATGCTGGTAAAATATGCTTCACTCATCAGCCAAAAAGACAAAGTAATCTACTGAGTGGCTAGTAGATTTTGGAATAAACCAGCCACATTGGCAGGTGTACAAAAAAATTAACTTCCAACCCTGGTCCAGACTCACATGCAGCCGTGACAGTTGACATGCTTTAAATATGAATGCTGCTGCAAAGATACTACATATTCTAAAACATGGATGCTTCACACAGATCTTCAACGTGACAGCACCAGACCCCCAGGAAAGCAGCTTGCAAGAAATTCTTCCCAGTGGTCACTGCAGCAAAAAAAAAAATCCCCAGTGGCTCATAAAGCATTTCCCCATAGGCCATCACTGTAAAAGAGATGTCTGTAAAACTGTTGATGGGACACCCAAAACTGCAAACAAGGCAGCAGGACAATGCACCATGCCACACCACAAAAACTGCTCAGGAATGGCCCAAGGAACCTGACAAAAAGCTCAAGGCGTCAACCTGGCCTCTAAAATTCCTAGTTCCCCATACAACTGAGCATCTGTGGGACGTGCCGATACCCCAGACTTACTGCCCATCCACGGTGGGGCCTCTATGGATTGAACATAGCTCTGGCATGTCAAGGTATGGACACAGGAAGTCTGGATGCCCCGTGGTGTCTGGCACCAGATCTTCACAGCAGATCCTTCGAGTCCTGTGGATTGCGAGATGACATACCAGCATGTCCCAAGGATGCTCGATCAGATTTGGATCTGGGGAACTTGGAGGCCAGGTCAAGGCCTTAAGCCCTTTGTCACGTTCCTTGGGCCATTCCTGAGCAGTTTTTGCATTGTGGCATGACACATCGTCCTGCTGGGGGGCCACTGCCATTGGGAACTGATGTTGCCATGAGGGGGTTTGCTTGGTCCGCAGTGGTGTTCAGGTGGGGGGTGCGTGTCAAGTGGCATTGTATTGTAACAAGATG